CTGAGACTTGTTAATAGTTTGGGTAACCTTGAACAAACGATGTTTTTTCTTTGCAATTTACTGTTGGCTATTGTATGCTAGACTCAAAAACAAGACTTTCACAACTGCTGTTCCCCAGATGGCATTCAAACCGAAGACACACATTAAACATCTATGGCAGGGTACGAGCTTTCATGAGTCACTGCTCATTCCTCCAGATACTCATACCCTGCCACAAATTTTGTTAGTTTTTAAGATACTATTGGACTCTTGCCCTTTTCTACTGCTAGAAAGAAGAAGATGATATTGGATTTATACCCCGCCCTTCACTACCCAAAGGTGTCTCAGAGCGGCTTACAAACTCCTTTCCCTTCCCCTCCCCACAACAGACACCCTGTGAGGTGGGTGGGGCTGAGAGAACTCTGACAGAAACTGCCCTTTTTCAAGGACAGCTGTGCCAGAGCTTGTGACTGACCCAAGGTCACATCAGCAGGTGCGAGTGGAGGAGTGGGGAAACGAACCCGGTTCTCCCAGATTAGAGTCTGCACACTTAACCACTACACCAAACTGGCTCTCTATAACATGCAAGAATAACATGGCTACCCATCTGGATTAAACATCTAGTCGTTCACTTCTTTTTAGAGGTCCCAAATCATAGCCGAAACATAACCTGTCAGCACAAACATATAACATGTCCCACTGCTAGCATGTACCCTAAACTAGCAGCTCTAATGAACATACATACACAGAAATTTCCTCCCTTCTCTTTAATATTCAGGCATGTCCAATGCCGCCGTGCCCATATATATATATATACACGGACCATTCTCTTGTTTTGGAGATACTGGTTTGTATCCTACCCACTCGGCTCAGTGAAGTATGGTGTCTTCCTCCAGCCTAAGGAGCTTCCCTCAGACTTAAATGATTAGGTTACCACACATGAAACCTTTGTTCAGTCTTACAAAGTGCCTTGACTGGTACGGTAAAAGCTCAGAATGAAGCTTTCCCAAGGGCCTGGTCAAACAAGTGTTCACACAAATGGCAGCCACATTTTGTGCTCTACCGAGTTGCGCTTTTAGCCATGCTAGAAGGAACTGAGCTGGCTGCCTGTTACAAAATATGTTGGACTCAGTCCAGACCAAGGGTTGGTCCCTCACTGCTGCCACCAATCAGTTTTGATGGAACGTCAACACAAGACGCAGGTTATTGTTGAATCCATGGTGACATTTACTATTCTTAAGCACACATTGGCAAGAGGAGTTGGATTTATACCCCACCCTTCCCTCAGAGTGGCTTACAATCTCTTTCCCTTCCTCTCCCCACAAGACACCCTGTGAGGTAAGTGGGGCTGAGAGAGCTCTTTCGAGAACTGCTCTTGAGAGAACAGCAGAGAACCCAGCTGGCTGCATGTGGAGAAGTGGGGAATCAAACCGAGTTCTCCAGATTAGAGTCCGCTGCTCTTAACCACTACGCCAAACTGGCAAAGTGGTCTAGGGAGCATTTTAGTCAAGAGTGAGCAGTGAAGCTGCCTTATACTGAATCAGACCATTGGTCCATCAAGGTCAGTATTGTCCACTCAGACTGGCAGCAGTTCTCCAGGGTCTCAGGTGGAGGTCTTTCACATCACCCACTGCCAGGAGATGCCAGGGGATGAGCCTGGGATCTTCTGTATGCAAAGCAGAGGCTCTTCCACTGAGCCACAGCCCCTCTTAATAGTTTTCACTGCAGTAGTGTTTGCTCTGCTAGGAGCTGCAGAAAGTGCAGTCATGTCTAAAGATATGAAGGCCCGGAAAAAACCCGGAAAAATTCTGGGGAAAAACGTTTTTTTCCTGAAGCCTTTTTTGTTTTTTCCCGAAAAATTGGAAAAATTGTAAAAGAAATTGATTATGGAACGTTTTATTTTAACATGATGAATAAAATATTTTAGGACAAGGTGTTCAAATATTTTCCAAATCATTTCTAATATATATATATATATGGTATCAGATTGATCTAATTTCTGTGCACTGAGGACAAGCAAGTCCTAGGTTACAAACTGAACTCTCCAATGCAAGAACAAGATGCATTTCTTCCTTTAGGAGGTGCTATTGTCAGAAGAAAATAAAAAGGTTTCAGTTTTGTTTCTGCATGTGGGTGTAATTCTGTTTGTAATAATTGTTTGAATACACTATATTTTTAATATGCTAGTTGTGATAATTTCATGCCAAGTAAAAATGTCCATAGTCATATTTTATGTTCCTAAAGTAACAGAATGACTTTCAATCTAGAAAAGACAAAAAATGCTAATGTAGCATTTTTTCAATTTTTCCGAAAATTTCCGTTTTTTTCCAGAAAAAAATTGGGGGGGGGGGGAACTTTTTTTCCCCGAGCTTCAAAATTTCCGGAAATTTTACATCTCTAGTCATGTCCCATCCTGATGTCCTTACACCATCCATGGCTGGTGTGACATAAAGGAGAACTGTTTTAGGAGTAAAGCTTTACTCCTATATGTGTTACATCTATGGAACAACAGATTGCTTTAGCCCGGACTAACCTTTAAGGAACTGCCTGAGTTTTAGGAGTGGGGTAAGTCAAAGGTCATGCATCCTTTGCCAGCTGGCTTACAGTAAAGCTTTCAAGGGGCTGGCTGAACCACAGAACCTAAAACAGGTTTTACAGCTCAGCTAAGCTACCCACCCTTCTTGCTTCCTATACGATACAGGCAATATGCTGGTGGTGACATCTTAGACACCATTTTTAGAACAATTCTACACTTCTGTTTCTTTTATACCATCGGAAAGGGGAACAGAACAGCAACAGAAATCACCTTCTGTAAGAACACACCATGAACTGTTGGCAACCGCTGCCTGGCTGAATAAAGGGAAGGTATCGAAGCCCTGACTTGGAGGGCACAGGCTAGCCTGATTCCGTCAGATCTCGAAAGCTAGGCAGGGCTGGTCCTGGTTAGCATTTGGACGGGAGACCACCAAGGAACACCACGTGATGACCCAGAGGCAGGCAATGGCAAACCGCTTCTGAAAACCCTAGGCTCACCATAGGTCGGCTGCGACTTGAGGGCAAAAATCTAAGCCAATTGTACTGAAACGTGAAGCACACACATCAAAATAAGGCAGGAGATGGCGACGATGGGAGTTGTTCAAAGCGAAATCACTAAGCATTGCTAAGTCAAGCAGCAGAACTCAGGACAGGTAGCGCAGGGTCCCCAACTTTCTGATCCTGTGAGTACTTTTGGAATTCTAACACAGGGGTGTGTGCGCACAAATTGGCTGCCACAGAAGGCAGAGCCACACACATGCACACTCATGGAGAAAGCCTAAGCACAGAAGATTAGAGGAGTAATTTCTAAAAAAACACACTGGGAACAATAACAATAATAAGAGGAGATTGGATTTATACCCCACTCTTCACTTGGAGTCTCAGAGCGGCTTACAAACTCCTTTCCCTTCCCCTCCCCACAACAGGCACCCTGTGAGGAAGGCAGGGCTGAGAGAGCTCTTTCCAGAACTGTCCTTGAGAGAACAGCTCTGACAGAACTATGGCTTGCCCAAGGTCATCCGGCAGCTGCAAGATGAGAAGTGGGTAATCAAACCCGCTTCTCCCAGACTAGAGTCCACGCACTTAACCACTACACCAAACTGGCTATCAGGAGTGGTAGAGAGGATAAAACCAACACTATGGGGTTAGTGTTGCCACCGAAACATTATTTAAATCTGCACAGCCAATCGGCTCTCCAATGGCTGTCAGATGCCCTGCTGGGCAGCAGCCCCACCCACTTTCTAAAAACGCTCGGTGAGCCCCAGGAAAGGTATTGGGTGGGCGGGTGTGGTTCCCACGGGCACAAGCACTGGGGACCCGAGGCAGAGGCCTGAAAACTGCCACCAAAGGGATAGAGAAAAATGAAAGCTGCCCCCACCGTTTCTTTTCCTGACTGCTGAACAAGAGGAATAAGCAGATCAGACCGCATTTGTGAATGGTTTTTATCAATGCACACATAAAATGTAAATAGTTGCACAACCAGAAAAAAAAAATTAACATCTTCAGTCAAAACACTGGTGATGGGAAAAAGCGGGGGGGGGGGGGGGGGGGGAGGGGGGAGAGAGGAGAGATCGGTTAAAGTCAACTATTGAAAACGCAAGCAAATAACCAGCATTATTTTCCTCACAGTCGCTTTGCTAAGAAAGAACTGAACTGGTATTCGTCATTTCAGTTTCAGGCTGAAATTTTAATGATTCAGAGGAATGATATAAAGTCTTTAAACTTTTAAAAAATGTTTATAGAACTAAACACACACAATGGTCTCCCGAGTCGGTCAAAGAAGGGACACGCAAGAGAGAAAAGCAAACAATCGACCAGATTTCGAGAAGTTGTTGGTCTTGGCCATATTTTGGATGAGAGCTACCGCTGCTTCCTTCTTGTCTTTTTCTTTTTTTAAAAAAGAATCTTTTTGCTTTGTTTTGTTAAGCCTATCCTTCCATAGAGGTGAATACTCTCTTGTGGCAGTGTCTACTTTGTCAAATACAGTACTCCACTTTCTGAAGACAGAAAGAAAGAAAAAATAAACCAAAAGGTTAACATTAAGGCATACGCTGAGCTATGCGGTCTTGCTTTTGTACAATCAGAATCAGTTTACTTGGGATTTGAATACGTGGAATGTTGTTGGCACAGAGCTAAAGCCACGGCAGACGCAGCTGCCCATCGCACTGATTCTATCAGGTCCTCATGACTTGCATATCTCTAAGACACTCACACACGCATGTCCTGAAATGGCTTTTCGTTATACAAATTAGAAAGTGGATAAAACCTCCGAATAATAAGTAATGGGTAAAATAAGGGGTTTGCTTTATTTGTAATGTTATGTACAGAATACACTTCTTGGATTACGATGGGGCGGGTCAAGACGACAGTCGTAAACCTCCAAAACAATGCTGTTCTCTTTCTTTCCCCTGCTGCAGATGGGGCTCTTTGCTCTGAACCAGACGGACAGAACAGTCTGGGTTTCCTAAGTTGGTCACACACGGTTGTTTTTTTTTTTAAAGGAAGCTTCAAACCCTACAGCCAAGTCACTGCTAACTTGTTATGTCTTCAGAAAAGACAAAAAACCAAAAAAATAGTTCTAAGAAAAGTCTTACCAGTTTTATGAAGGTTAATATCACTAGAATGAGATGAAAAGTGCTTTGCTGAATGTATCAATCAATTGACCTGCCAGAAATAATATGAAATTTGGTCATTCAACAACTACCCTCTTAAATTACTGCTCTGGGGGGGGGGGGAGTCTTTCGTTCCAGAAAGCATTAACGCCATCTTCCCAACTATTATTATGTTCCTTCATACGTTTGATGCCTCACCTAGAGAGATTAGAACATCTACTCATTGACAAATTGGAAACTTATAGCTTTTATAAATGTATGTTACTTAAAACTATGCCAGGTTAAGGGGTTCTCTTTCATCTGTAAAACAAACAAAGAACTAGAGTCTAAAACTGTTTGGCTAAGCTGCGTACGTCAGCAAATAAAAGAGAGGAAAGAATGCTATCAGATGGTGTACCAGCCAACATAGAAAACCCGACTGCTTGCACAATATTCAGTCCATGCTACAGTTAAATTATGATTGTCCGTGTAAAGGCCCAGTTTCTCCTTCCTCCTCCTCCTCCTCCTCCTCATCATCATCGTCTTCTTCACAATCCCCTTCGTCCGTCTGCTGGTCCAGTTCCTCTTTTGTGATCATTTCAAAATCATTCCCATTACCGCTACTGTGCTGGGATCGGTCGTCCTCCCGCCTGTCACTGTCTGTGTCTGAATGTCGCTCTCCCCCGGGGCCTTCCGACCCAAAGCTTGCTAGCGGATCTGCTTTACCATCCTCGTCTTCCTTTTTCTCCGTATCCGATTTCTCGTCGCTGTCAGACTTTGGCTGCTTTTTGGACTCGGACTTCTCTTCTTTCTTTGAGTCGGCCTTTGGTCCTTTGTATTCATGTGTGTACAGGGGCCTGAAAGAGTCAATGAAGCCGACGTCCGCTGTCAGATTCGGCAAGAACCAGAAGTGATGCCTTCCGCCCGTCATCAGCCAGATGATAAGGAACAGGATACAGCGGGCTGCAAAAAAAAAAGAAAGGAAGATGTCCGCATTTTTTAAATGATGCTTACGAACCACAGAGGCACAGTTTTAGGAGCCAAGGACAATTATACAAAACTATAAAAGAAAATGAAAATTCTGGGTGAGAAAAACCAGGTGATCCAGCACAACTCTGAGGCTGGCATGAGGTACCTGAAAGTTCCCCACCTCCAGTTCTTTTAGAGCTACTGTTCTTCTGATCTATAAGCTATATTTAGAACAAAGGTTTCAAAATATACATTCAGTCACCCAGTTGTTATTACGCTCTTCATGTTCTCAAACTGTCTCACCATTTGCTGAGAAGGTGTTCAGCTGGCTGCTACTCTCTAAAATTAGGTCCTGGAGTAAAATCAGGGTAAACAATTGAAGAGTGACCCAGGTACACTAATCAAGAGCCTTGCTTGTGGGAAGGGCGGGATAGAAATCCAAATAAATAAATAAATAAATAAATCGACTGCCCCGTTTCAAAGACATGAACAGCGATTGGCACTATCCCTCAAGACCTCTGGAAGGAGAGGAAATGGAAGTGCTACAACCCACACAGAAACGAGATACCAAAAACAGAATTTAAAATTTCTGTCATAGAATTGAAACCCCTCATATATAGGAGAGCAGCATCCCTAAGACAAGGAGATAAGAGTTTGGTCGGGAGATGGGGTTATACTGAACTAACTAGTTTATTTTTATAGGCGCATTAACAGGTCAGGTCTGTTCCTCAGAAGGAAGTCCTGCTGAGTTCTAGGGTATGGCTAAAGGAGCATAGGATCAAAGCTATGAAGGGTTCCTTTCAACGTCTTCCAAAAAGTGTGTGCCGCTTGATCCTATGCGTGTTTACTCAGAAGTAAGTCCCATCAAATTCAGTGAGACTTGCTTCCTAGTAGAGATGAGATGGAAGAGGCTGCTAAGATGAGAAGGAAAGAGATGACCAAGGGGGGACATGGCAGAGGTATTTAAAATTATGCATGGGGTGGAGAGAGCTGACAAAGAGAAATTTTTCTCCCTCTTCCAAAATACTAGAACTCAAGTGCATCCAATGAAGCTGATGGGCAGTAGGTTCAGGATGGGCAAAAGGAAACACTACTTTACATAGAGAGTGATTAAAATGTGGAAAACGCTGGCAAAGGATGTAGTGATGGCCCAGGAATAAACAGCTTTAAAAGGGGATTAGATAGATTCATGGAAGATAAGTCTGTCAATGGCTACTAGCCATGGCAACTGAGGGGAACATCTACATTCATAGGGCCAGTGTTCCCTGTAAGCTGAGTTATTGTGAGCTGGCTCACAGTTTTTTAGCCTCCGGCTCACACATTTTTGCCTTAGCTCAGGAAGGAGGGCTCCAGAGCAAACTAATTTATGCAGCAGCCAAATCGCTCGCTCGCAACTTTAAGGCCAGTAGCTCACAAAGTAGAATTCTTGCTCACAGGACTCCACACCTTAGAGAGAACACTGATAGGGACTAATCCTCTGAATCCCAGAGCCAGGCGGCAGCATCAAGGAAAGGTCTGGGCCTCTATGCCCTGTTGTTCGCCATCCAGAGGAACTGGTTGGCCACTGTGTGAGGCAGGATGCTGGACTACATGGAACACTGGTCTGATCCAGCAGGGCTCTTCTTATCTTCTTAATCTTTTAAGGACTACTCCAACGAACGGAGCACCTGTAGAGGCAATACCCCCAAGTCCTACAGCAATGCCCTTCTTGGAGACTGGGCATACCCAAATGTCAGTTACAGGGTTAGGGTTAGCTGATCTCATAGAGCACTTCCCACTGCACTCGTCAACCTGCGGGGGAGGGGACATGCAGTACAGCCCTGAAAACAAGTTGTTCCTGCAAGAGCAGTCAGAAAAAAGGCTACGAGGACTTTGCCCCAGGGACTGGTATACTTATGCTGCCCTAAGAGACAGAAACGGCTCGTGGGAGACAGCAGGGATGTCAGCTCACAGCTGCAAATCTGTTGTGACGAATGCCCAACTGTAGGCACCTATATTTCAAACGGCACAATGGTGCCATACAGTGGCCATCTGGGAAATATTCACATCATGTAAGTGGTGGGGAGCTTCAAGGAGAACTGTAGAGATGTGGAAAGGGGGGGGCAGGAGAGGGGGGGGGCAAGAGAGAAATCCCAATGTACTTACCAACAGCCAGTAGGAGAATGCTAGCCACAAAACAGCCTGCGCCAACACTGAGATAATAAACACCTACTCGCATCTCCGCAGGCCAGAGTGGGAAGAGAGTTGCAGCTATAACAGCAATCACTGTTAGAGAGAGACAGACAACGCGTGAGAAACACGGGCAATTTTGTTAAAGGACGAGAGGTTTAAAAACCTGCTTCTGCATTAGTCACCTGAATAAATACGTTCAGAAACATGGGTCTTCTGCATGGAAGCAATGGCCCAATGGGCGCGGGTTGAATCGGGAAGCTACTGGCTTTCAGTTTGTGTGGGGGGGAACCTCCATGTTTTCAGCCTTCATGCTTGCATTATAAAGATGAAGGCTGTTATTTTCAGGCTGTGAATATAATGCACTGCAGCATTCTCCTGCACGACCCCGCATTAAAAGCCGGGGCTTTTCACGGAAGAACTCCTGTCTGCTACCCTTTTGGACTAGACAAGGCCTTCCAGTGGACAGCAGGGAGGAACTCCTTCTCAAGTCCCTGCAATGCCAGTGGCTACAACTCTGACCTAATTGGAACTAAACTACCAAGCTGGCAAAGCTCATATGGTTGGAAATTACTAGTCTCTGGAGATGCACAACAGTTTATGTAGTCATAATCCCAGGATTATCTGGAAACACCAGAAACCATTTCCCACATTTTACACCTACAGTGTGACACTCATCATAAACATATGCCACCTTCCATCAACTCCACTGGCTCCTTGTCCCGCATGGCCCCAACTGTCTTACAGTCAGAGAAGCTGTTCCAAGACCTCCCTGGGGAACTGCGCTCCTGGACAGGTAACTAAAGTGTGGCTGCTTGTGTTTCATTGCGGCGAAGAGTCATGACACTAGAATTAGGACTCCCAAGACTGCAGAAATATGACTTTGAATTTCTGCAGATTGTGCTGTTTCTTGTATTAAACATTCCCCGAATTAGGCAATGTGGTCTCAACAGTACTGCATGCCTATATCGAAATATTCTATACACTACTCTTTAGCACGTAATAAAGAAATAACAGAATCAGGAAGGACTCATCTCTCTCTCTCTCTCTCTCTCTCTCTGAAACGATATTTGCCAAATAAACTGTTTCTACTCTGGTGTTTCTGTTGTGCCTGTCAAAGTGCGGCAGTCTTGCAAGAACGATCCTTTAGGAAAGTGCTGATCATTTTGAAATGACAGAGAATTTAAGCAGGCAAGTTATCCACTGCAATGAAATGTGCTGCTCTGGAATAAATTTAGAACATTTTTGAGCCTGCTTTTCTGCTACACAGCAAGCAAGGCAACTAGCATGACACACACGTCAACATCCTAATGTGATAAAACAGAACTATAAAAGCTTGCCATAGTTGAAGCATCCCAAAAACAACAGCATCAGATTAAAAGACCAGTGCCATATGTTCCCAATCAGCAACCCCCACCCCCTCCCCAATGTTCACACCACTACATCATGTACTAACAATAGCTTCTGGATTTTCAATAGCTTTTCAAAGGCGGCCTCAGAGTGTTTAGCCTGGATGTCACTACAGTGGGGAAAAAAAGATCTACAAAATACTTGTTCAGTGCCAGCATCGAGCTGAGAATGAGCGTTTCTGCCTTATTTGCAGAACGGCTCCCCCTCCCGTCCCACTAGACCTGGGATCCTGAAGCAGGTGGTGCGCCACAACCAGAGCCAACTAGTAAACACTAAGAAGACTTTGCCCCTGGGAAAGCCACAGATGTGCTAACAGGCAGGCGGGTTGTTTGGTATGACTACCTGTGACACTCATTACTCACGGTTACTTACCAAGTATAAGTCCCATGGCAAATGTTTTGAAATGAACGGGGTCATAGATCCACACATATACCTGGAAAAGGGAATGATCGGGTGAAAATTAGACCGGGTTCCGAAAACTAAAGACTTCTGAGAAAAGCTGCTGAGAGATTGTTTCCCCTTAAAACCGCTTTTTATCGATGCAAGCCCGCACAGAAGCTACTCCAGCGCCATCTAACCCTGATAAACAAGATGGAGCAAAACCCCTAAGCAGGCTGACCAAGCTGGACGAGTGGGCAACAAAAAGGCAAACGAGATTCATAAAGTACATATAAAACAACACATACGGAGGTTAAAAGAAAATCCCACCTATTTAATGATCTGAGTTGGTTGTGATTTTCCAGGAAAGGGGGCTAGCTCAATGAAAATGTCAATGGTGGGTGTTGTGGAAGTGAAAAACACACTGGGGTACATTACGAACTGCGAAAACCAACTGCTGCACCTTCCCTACAAGGAAATATTACCTACAAGGAAGTATTACAGCCTTTGGGGATTTTCATTTAGTAATTTCTTTTTTTCACCCTGACATGAGTGGCCCAGGGAAGCTTTATCTTGTCAGACCTCAGAAGCTAAGCAGGGTCAGTGCTCAGACGGGAGACTATACAGAGGCGGGCAATGGCAAACCACCTCTGAATATCTCTTGCCTTGAACACCCTACGGGGGTCACCGTAAATTGGCTGCAACTTGACAGCACTTTCCACCATTTTGCCCTGACCTGAATGGCCCAGGTGAGCCCCATCTCGTCAGATCTCAGAAGCTGAGCAGGGTTGGTCCTGGCTGGAACTTGGGTGGCAGACAGAGTCGAGGCGGGCAATGGCAAACCACCTCTGACTGTCTCTTACCTTGAGGGGTTGCCATAAGTCAGGAAGCAATTTTTCTCCAGGCCAGTTTCGCTGGAGATCCTGGAGGTTTTTAGTCATCTTCTGGGCATGGAACAGGGGTCAGTGGGGTGTGTGTGTGTGTGGGGGGGAGAAGAGATGGGATTTATACCCCACCCTTCACTACCCGAAGGAGTCTCAGAGTGGCTTACAAACTCCATTCCCTCCCCCTCCCCACAACAGACACCCTGAGAGGTAGGCAGGGCTGAAAGAGCTCTTTCAAGAACTGTCCTTGAGAGAAAGGCTCTGACAGAACTATGGCTTGCCCAAGGTCATCCAGCAGCTGCAAGTGGAGGAGTGGGGAATCAAACCTGGTTCTCCCAGATTAAAGTCCGTGCACTTAACCACTACACCAAACTGTTTTTGGTATTTGTGAATTTCCTGCATTGTGCAGGAGGTTGGACTAGATGACCTTGGAGGTCCCTTCCAACTCTATGATTCTAAGTCGGCTATGACTTGATGGCACTTTCCACCACCAATTTCTTTTTCCTACTACGGCTAATGATTCCCATTTCCTTGTTGCTGCTACCATAGAAACAATGGGTTTCCCCCCTCTCCCAGTACTGCCGCCCTGATTCAAACTTTTCCCCCCTGCTTAATTCAGGTGTCAGAAGATTTGACTGAAGATCAGACTACAGATCTTGCTCATAATGTAACGTCTGACCCAACACAGGGACGTGATTGAAGGTTTTAAAACCCTGCACGGCAAAGAAAGTAGATTGTCTCACGCTCTCAGAGTACCTCATGAAACTGACTGGCAACACATTCAGGACATATAAAAGAAAGTACTTAAACACACAATACATAATTACGTTATGGAGTTCACTGCCATAAAACGTGGCAATTACTACCAGCGTAGACGGCTTTAAAAAGATTAGATAAAGTCATGGAGCTTATGGGCACGACTGGGTACTAGCCATGCTGGTTAAGAAGACTCTCTATGTTCAGAGGCACTATACCTCCAAATACATGGTGCTATGGGCTTGCCGGGTGGGTCACAGGGAATATCCCAGTACCCATAACAATGAACGGCTGAATGGGGAAGGGAAAGTGGCGCCCTTTCTGGTGGGAAAACAGGACTTGGCGATAGTACCACAGCCAATGTTCCCTCTGATCCCCCCCCCCCATACTGAGCGAAGTAGTTCACATCCTGAGCAGAACAGAACTGCTGTAATCCTAAAATGGGCCATGGGCAGTGCAAGACCCTGCGTGCGGCTCCAGATGGCTGCTGAGCGAGGCTTCCTGTGTTAAAGAGTGGCTACTCACCCACACAGCTGAGAGGGAACACTGAACAGCTGCAAAAAAGCTGCAAGTACACGGCTACTGAGTGGCTGGGGAACCTGGCATGAGCACAGGTAGTGGCACCTGCCGGCGCCGGGTTCCATGAGCCACTCGGTAGCAGTGCGCTTGCACAGTGCTGCAGCAGTGGCCACGGCAGCTCGACTGTCTCTCATGAAGCCGCTTTATTCTGGTCCATCACGGTCAATATTGTATATTCAGACTAGCAGTGGCTCTCCGGGATCTCAGGCACTACCTGGCCCTTTTTAACTGGAGGTGCCGGGGATTGAACCTGGGACCTTATGTACGCAAAGCAGAGGCTCGACCCCTGAGCCACAGCCCCTTCCCCTCTCTCCCTTCAGCGGCACAGTAGTGAGTGCTGGGCTGTACCTTGCCACCCACCCCATGAGCTGCTGGCTGGTTAGGGGGCAAGCAGAAGGGGACGGCTGCAAGAGCAACACAGTGAATGAAAAACTGAATAGAGCGAGCCACTTTAAAAATGTTAGAAATTTCACCTCGGAATGAACAAGGATGCGGATGAGGGAACAGCCCGTCTGAAATGAAGGGATGGTATGCATTCTTCCTTCCTGCCAGTCTTAGAACTTGAACACATGTAGCTTGCTGCCTTCTTACAGAGTCATACTCCCAAGCAACAGAAGCTCTCCAAGGCCTTTTCCAGATCTGCTACCCCAAGTGAAGCTGAGGACTGAATCTGGGACCACAGAAACCCAAGGCATGCACCTCTGCTACTGAACCACTCTTGTATAAAGTTAGAAAACAACATCTACAGCCCCGAAGGGGTTAGAGACAGGACCGCAACTTCTAGCTTAAAAATTAGAACAAGGTAGTCACAGTGTTCCTCAAAGATAACTGATGCAAGGGATGTACAGACCAAGATGGACAGGGAGAAAAACATCAGCAAAAACAGCTGACTAGGAAGGGAACTGAAATGCACATAGACAAAGGAAAACATCTTTGCTGAAACGAATTCCAGACAAAGAGCGTCCATTCTGTACAAGGACAGAAGAGTCACCCAAAGTTTCTACAGCTGCAAACAACAGTACACCGCTTTACTGCAATTGACGAAAAAACCCCGAGATCTGCTCATCCCAAGGGAATGCTCAACTACATAATGCTACAGTACTCTGAATAACACACACAGATCCTGTAGCAGAACTTTAACTGTTTGTTTAATGAGTATCATTCTAGCTGGACTGAGCCCTTCATTCAGCGCAGAGCAATTCAACAAACACCAGAGGATCACAACATAATAAACCTCCTAGCTGTCTAGTAAATCTCACACGTGTTAGAACAGAGACAATATAGTCACATGACCAACAAGAATAGCCAACAGCTTATGGTTCATGAATAGCAAGAGCTGAGCTATACACACGCACGACTCTGCTGCTCTTGTTAACAAGTCATTCAAAAAGGGTACAAGGATTTTAAAATTACTGCTCAGTGGGAAATGTCCTTGATATGGCTCTTTGGCATGCAATAGTGCCCTGCCTATTCATCCTGGAAAGGTACACACAGCATTCATTTATTTTGCATATTAGATCTTTTTAACAGAAGATCATGGTGTACGTGACAAAATTATTTCCATCTTTTCTAGGCCAGTTCCATTGCCTTCTGAAAAACCATTCTGACGCGCACTAGCAACAATTTTAGAGGCTCCCCAGTTTTGTGAAGGGAACACAAGAGCATCAGAATATACCTAGTTCCCAGGTTCTCTCACTGTGGGCTGCTGTATACAGCGGGAGGCCAACGCAAACCTCCTCCAAATTACACTTTCGTGCCCAGACTGATTGGGCCAGGAGACAGGAATGCTAACCCAGCTTTCCCCAGCTGCCTCTCTCCTTCGCTTCTTTCGCCTTTACTGACAGTGGTGGAAATCAGGGCTGCCAGGCACTTTTCTTTCCATCACCACACCGCTTCTGGGAACCGCAAGAACTCACCTGGCCCTCATTCCTGTATTTCCTCTTCAATTTCTGTCTTTGATAGAGGACAACACCAGCTGAGCCATCCAGGTCTGCTTGGCTTTAATCATACTGGGGGAAGGATAAACATTTTCTCCTTGACTCGAAATCGTCCCCTCTGCCTCTGCCTTCAGCACAGCTCATCAGACAGGAGAGGGCGATTTCACCCCCCTTCCCTTCCGCACTGCAGCCTCCCATGTGGCGATTAGTCCACAAAGTTGCTGCGACCCAAAATTTCTCCAGGTTTAAAGACGTGGAAAGGTGGAAAAAAGCTGGGGGGGAAATTGGAAGTTTTGGGGAGTACTGAAAAAAAAAGACTCCTCTGAAACATTTCCTCCTTTAGGTAAAGGTTTCCCTTGTTCAAAAGCCAACTGAATCTGATTTTAGGGGGCGGTCTTCATCTCTGTCTCCAAGCTGAAGAGCCAGCGCTGCCCGAAGACTCCTCTGTGATCATGTGGCCAGGATGACTAAATGCCAAGGTGCACAGAACGCTGTTACCTTCCCACTGAAGCGGTACCTATTTATCTACTTGCAATTTCTTGCTTTCGAACTGCTAGGTTGGCAGGAGCTGGGGCCAGAGGCAGGAGCTCATTCCGTCATGTGGCACTCGGGTCTCGAACTGCCGAGCTACTGACCTTCCAGTCTGCAACTCAGCGACTTAACCTCTGAGCCGCCACGGCCCCTCCTTTAGAATGAGTTAAATGCTTTCAAAGACAAGGTGGGCATGCCCTAGATATATACAGCTCTTAAATCTGAAATGCATTTCTGTACTTAAAAGGAGACCTAATCTTCACGAGGGGAGCATGCAGGGCTCTGAATGCATCTCAGCTGTTGTCCTTTTGACCTGACTTTTCCCTTGTGGGTGACCTTTTCCCCTCTCTCTCAAACCACTCTGACACAGATAACCCACATACTTCTGAAGAAGTACACCTTGAATAAAACTCTGTTGGTCTTAAAAGGCGCCACTGGACTCGAACTTTGTTCTGCTGCTTCAGAACAACACGGCTACCCCACCTGAGCATATACCCACAGACTGGGTAACAAGTAGCTTATTGCCCTACCTTGCTGGACTGAAGGAAGTGGGGCAGAAACTGCACCAAAGACTCCAAGGAAAACTCTGAAAGTTTCATTGAGAACTAAGCTCTCTAATCAGCAGCCACAAATGGAAGAAGACAGCATCTAATTGAGCACATTTTATTACTGAAAGTTATAAATAATGCATTTAGTATTGTTAAAGCGGTAAAATTAGTCTGGGTATGACAGGACAGTTAGCACTGCATATGTTTCATTCCCCCCCCCCCCCAAATTTTCCCTTTTTTCCAGACAAAAAAAAAAAGGAACCCTGTCCTTTCCTTGAGACTTCAAAAGTTCCAGAAATTTTACATCTCTACCCAGGACTGCTGTGGGGAGGGAAACGCAGAAAAGATCTGTGACTGTTGCATCCACATATCGCTGTATCCAGACCTTTGCTTTGGCGGAAATTTTCAGGATCCGAGGGCAGAGCCATTCTAATGACTATATCCTTGCTGGGATACTACCACCTGTCCCACCTACCATTAAGTTGTGCCAGGAAATAATAACTACCATTTCTACACGTCATGATTTTGCAGTAAGATTTCCTTTATGAGTTTTTAATTTAGTTAATTTAGATACGCCTTCTTTGGCTGTGCAGCAACATATCCCTAATGACACTACTGGAAAGTCAATTAAAAACAGAGTTGGACTAATCAATTTCTCTACCTTACGCTAAACATTACATCAAGCCACAAAATATCAATATTTCAACAATGGAGATCACCCAAATATGGTACCTCATTTCCATCCAGGAAAACTTGGTCTTCGTGAGGTTCTAGTTTAAATTTTCTCTTCGTTTCCTTCTTCTTAGGGGTGCCAGGGGTCTCGTCCTAAGGACATATATCGCAAATAACTTGTCAATGAAACAGCTCATAAGCACTCCCCATTTAGCTAGAAAACAGAAGCAAGCAAGTTATCGTTGGGATACAAGGAAGGCAAACTTTCCCTTTCTCTTGCTGCTTATTAATTTGGAAAAGCAACACTGACAAGGAAGACCAGATGACAGTTTTCATTGCAGAGTCTGATATACTCTAGGACTAGCTATTTCCTTAGATCTGGATGAGATCTTCCAGATATCAACTGGAAACCTACACACAGATCTAAGAGTGTAACATTTACCAAGCCTCGTTTAATTCAAGTATGGCTGGTTTCTGAAGCCAGGATTCAGCTCAAACCAACTTCAAGACACAGTTTTGTATCTTGACTAATCAAAGGGAGCAAAGTGGCATGTGTTCGGAAGATGAGACTAACCACAATTAGTATAATAAACAACAGTTGCATGTTATGTCTGTTCTAAGCCTATTAATTGGGATTTATTATTTAATCAGGCAGACCCTACTGATCACTAAGTGAAGAAACAGACAGTGACTCTCCTGCCCTCTGTCCTTCCTCATGAGAGCACAAGAAAAGCCTCCCTGGATCAGACCAGTGGTTCATCTAGTCCAGCATCCTGTCTCACACCATGGCCAACCAGTTGCTATGGAGGTCCAACAACAGGGCACAGAGGCTATTGCCTTCTCCTTCTATCGTTGCTCAATAGAGAGCATTTTAACATACTGCGTCTGTGCCTGGTTAGCCAGTTGTACGGCTGTGGATAGGAAAGCACTCCAGAGAGTTATCATCACAGCCCAGAAGATTATTGGCTGCCCTCTCCTGCTCCTGGAGGAATTGTATAGTTCTCGATGTTTGAAAAAAGCAAAGAACATTTTGCAGGATTTGTCACACCCTGAACACTCCCTGTTTGAACTGCTGCCTTCGGGTAGAAGATATAGGACAATTAAAACAAGGACAAACAGATTAAAAAGCAGTTTTTATTCGAGAGCTATTATTGCTTTAAATGCTGTATGAAATTGGAATTTGGGTGACATTGGTGGTTTAAATTGCAATGTGAACCTTAAGGGGAGTTATGGGATGGTTGTGAATGGTTGTGTGAGTGTATATGAGTATGGTTCACTGAAATGATTGCATCTTTAATTTCGTTGTACTATGTACAATGACAATAAAGTATATTATTATTATTATTATTATTATTAATTTTATTAATGCTGACTCCTAGCATGGGTATGCAGAGGATTGCTGCCTCTGGATATGGAGTCTCCATTCAGTCACCATGGCTAGCAGCTGTTGCTTGACCTCTTCTCCATGAATCTGTCTAATGGCCCTTTAAAGCCTATCCTAATGCATCTCCCACTTTCCTCTGAAGCTCTCTGCTCATCTTAACTCTCCCCCACTACGGTCTGAATGAGTTCCAGGGTGCCACAGTGATTCTCTTATCTCTGCTCACAAGTCACAAGGACAGACATGACCCAAAGATGGCTTTAATAAAAAGCATGCTCTAGCTAAAATTAAGCACTTTTAAAATCAGTGTAAAAGGTGCTTGCTTAACTTTCCCAGTGAAATCAATGGAAACGGAAAGCGCTTAATGTTGGGAGGATTGCATCTATAATTTTTGTTTCTTTTGCTTTCCTCCAGTGTTGCATGTAATTTGATTTGATTAAATTGGTAACATCATTGAGCACTTTATTACTGTTAAATGTGGTTGTTTTATGCTGTTTTAATGTTTTATATTTGGCATATGCTGCCCCTGTTTGTAAGCCGCCCTGAGCCCGTTCGCGGGGAGGGTGGGATATAAGTGTAATTAATAAATACATAAATAAAATAAGCATAAAATTGATAACTGCAGAGAAGGCAAGCCATACTTTCAATAATTAAACCAGCACATATGGGAAGACATTATCATTATACTTACTGCTCTAATACCAGACAAATGAAAACCAGCCCTCTATACATTTATTTGTATAGAGGCTCAAATATAATCCTCTGGCTCAGATATAATCTCAGCCTCTTGCAAGATTTTAGCTGAACAGGCACGAACTTGAGGGCTGAAACACATTTCCAGCTGGCTGCTATATAGACCCTGGATCTGAATTTAAACATTAATAATGAATTTACTTGTCACACTTCCCGCCTTTACAGCACATAAAAGAATAATCGGTGAGTCCCATGGCGCTTAATATCCCATAGTATTTTTAAAGAGCTGCAATATTATTTTTCAACATCTTTTCCTTTAGAGGCAAAATCACTTGATGTGAATGAAACTGGAACAGAAGCCTGCCATCCTACCACCTGATCAACCATGTTTGAAGCCTTCCTCCAACACTAGGAGCCATTCTTCTTTTTAGCTTGGTTCTGGAAGTCGCCTTGGTCAGACTCGGCGCAGGCTTGAGTTTCCTGTTAGTGCAGCTGCACAGAGATCATGAAGAAGAATGTACATGGTCCCCCCCCCTCCATTTTATCCTTACGACAATCCTGTGAGGTAGGTTGCTAAGAAAGACTGACCAGCCTATATTACCCAATTTCAAGGCTAAGTGGGACTCTGAACCTAGTCCTATTCTGACCTGCTGATCAATATCCCAAACTGGCTTCACTTCCTCGTGTGTGTGTGTGTGTGTGTGTGTGTGTGTGTGTGTGTGTGTGTGTAAAGTGCCGTCAAATCACTCCTGACGTATGGCGACCCTACCTCCTGAAAAGAAGTGCATGCCTTATTTCAGACAAGTAGGTAAATGCATCAGATACTTTAATACCCAGATAAACAACAGATCTTTCTAGGATATTCTATGCCTCTGCATAAAGAGCCCTCATCTTTCGATTACTCCATGTATTTCACATTCCGTTAAGGTTGACCTTGTCAGTACAAGAGCAACAGTGTAATTGGATCTATGGAAAAGTTACTGCTGCCTAAGCCCACTGAAATCAATGGGTTTAGCATGGAGTAACTCTACACAGGACTGCACTGTTCACCTCTCAAATGAACCCTGGAATACTGTACAGCATACAGTATTAAACACCAATTAGAACTTATGCCTGTAATCTGGATACTGTATGTAATGGTTATTGCTAATGTCTTTGCCCCAACCTAGATGTTATTTGTTAACACATGATAAGACACAGGGACTAGCAGCCAGACAGCAGCTGTGAGTTCTTGCTGGAAATTCAACGGTGAAACTTTACAGGGGCTTGATTTGGACTGGGGCCACAGCGGGAGGAGGGGAGTCCCTCCCCGCCATTTTCCAGACCCAAAATGGCCTTGGAGAGGGCTGGGCCAAATAAAGGCCTTCTGGGCCATTTGGGGCTGATAAAAGTGGCATGGGTACTTAAGCCCCTTCTCCCTCCACAGCACAGTCCCCGATCCAAACTGGGGCTCTACAAGGCTTCAGAACTGGATTCCTGTGGGAAACTCACAGCTGCAGGTTGGCTTCAAACCCCTGTGGCTATCACATGTTACACGTAACATCTAGCTTGGGCCTTACGTGCCAGAGCAGAGGGGGAAATGAGCAACTATATCTGAAACCCCTTTCCTAGATCAGACCGGTACATTGGTACTTACCTGAAGGTTCTTTCTCTTCAGTGGGGGAGAAGTCATCCAGGAACTGGTTAGGTCACGCCTCTGCTCGCTCGATAGGCTATGCAAATTTCTTTTGTTGCGTGGCTCCTATTGGAGTGGCCTAGGCTGACCTCTCCAGTTATGTCCAAGCCCTGTCCGTGGATTACTCTCATTTTATATCCTTGTTTCCATCCACGGTAGTTGTATGTTGTGCTGTTGCAGTCCATAGTTTTGCCACCCTGGTCTATTTCTGGCATCCAGTTTGGGTGGGATGTGGATGACTTCTCCCCCACTGAAGAGAAAGAACCTTCAGGTAAGTACCAATGTACCGTTCTCCTTCAGTGGGGGGAAGTCATCCAGGAACTGGTTAGCTGTACCCAAGCTATTCTTCCGGGGTGGGTGACTAATTCCACTTCATGGTTTTACCGCATTGTTGTTGTTTTAATTACTAACTATTTAGTTATTTATTTTTACGTCTCCAGTATCTGCTGTAAGAACCTTCTGGCAAACGCCGCCTCCGCCGAGGCTGCTTGGTCTATCCTATAAAGTCTCCCACATGTGGGGAAAAGACTTTCAGGTCGTCTCTCAGCAAATCTCTTCTGCAGTGTCTCGTGTGGAGAAGGCTGCTACCTTGCTGTTGGCCTCATGGGACATGATTTGTTGCCCCTCGTCAACTTTGGAAATACACTGTCTGATCCAATAGGCCAGTGTGTCCTTGGGGACCTTTTGCCTTAATTGGGAGTCCCATATGCCACGAGCAATGCGTCT